TCTTTTATAAATTATAGAAACTGAATAGATACTTTGTGTGTATCTTACAGCCTCTGAATTACAAATTTTCTCAAAAGCAGTCATAAAATGAGGTGAAAGACGTCCACTGGGCTATCTGCTTTCTATCATTTAAAAATTTAAAAGGAAAGAGGAAAATGAACAATGAAATAAAGTTTTGATGAAGCAGCATTTGAAACAAAATCTTGCAGGGGCTGCTTTTGCATTGTCTTACTGCAATAATCAACCACTAAGTATTCCTCACATGCCACACAGCACTCCAATTAGTTTTATATCTGCTGTGAAAACTCATTACTTTTAGGGCTTTTGTAAATCCCTGGTGGGCAAAAAAAGATATCCGTAAAATAGATTAATATTTCAGACGCATCTATCATTAAAAATGGTCTCTGTTCTATGTAAAATGGACTCACTTAGACCACACAAGCACTGTTACATCAGAGCTTGTACAGCTGTTACATAATCAATTCCTCCTCTGATGGTTCTAGCACCCCAGAATCAAATAAGATCAGGCAGCAATATGAGCTAAAACTATTATGTTGGCAGTCTTGAGATTTGTTCTGCATGGTTGCAACACTTGTACAGATCATTCTGTGTCATCTCTTGTGACATCTTACAGCTAGGTTTATCAATTAGTTCCTAACTTGAACTATTAAGAAAACGTACTCCTTCTAGCTCCAAATGGGACCTAAAGTTTACTTAATTGGAAAATATGTTTTAAAAGCGTTAAAGTGATTAACATGAACTCATCTCAAACTAAGGAGATTTGTGAGCCTATGTGAAGCTCTTAAAATAAAATTTATTGCAGTTTTTAGATATAATTTGCCCTCATTTATCAGCAGTCCCTCATTGTATGCGTATAGTTAATTAACCTGCCCAATATCCAACTTAACATTAAGGGAAATAGCGAAAGACTATAGATCATGACAAAGATTTAAAAAAGGCAAAAATACGAGGAAAATAAGACAATGTAAAAAAAAATCCAGAAATATGATTTTTTTAACTATTCATTTGTATGCTACAGCTGCAAATAAGTATTTGAACACCTGAGAAAGTCAATGTTTATATTTGATGCAGTATTGCTTGTTTGCAATTACAGAAGTGAAACATAGTTTCCTGTAGTTTTTCATCAGGTTTTCACACACTGCACACTCCTCCACACATTTCTCTAGATCAGTTTTGTTTCTGGACTGTTGTCGTGAGAGGCTGATTGCCGCTTGTAACCCCCTGTACACTACACAACTCAAGACGCACTATCAGGCTGAAAGTCGGCCTGGTCGAAAGATTCTCGCACGACTGGAAAATCGCCCCAAAAATCGCACAGTGTACGCCCGGCTTTATCCAGAAGTAAAGCAATCGCACTTTTCTCTCACTCCCAACTTGGTGGGTGCCTGCAAATTTGGCATGTCTTCCCTGGAAATGTCTTTCCAAATTACTCTTTTATTAGTTGACAACTTCTACTGACAAAGCAAACATGTAGGCAATCCCTCCGCATTGGTAATGAAAGAAAATTATTCAATCTATTCTTCTTTGAATCCTGTTCTGATCAGTTCTTCCTTTTCCCTTTGGGATCCATGGCCCGAGACACACCTGCCGCATTGATTTCAACATCCACTTGCCTGGCACCACGCTGCGCCAAACCTGTGTTGCAGGCTATGACGCATATCTTCATTGAGAGAAATGTTTACATTTGTTGTTTTAACAAAAAAATCCATCTTTTTATATTTTCATACCTTTTTGAAAAAACTCCAGGGAGCCGCAAGGGGGGCATTAAAGAGCCACATGCGTCTCTGGAGCACCGGTAATCGACTTCTGACCTATGATTTTATTATGAAATGTCGACAGCGAGACATTGACAGAAAATGTTATAGGGTTGTCAAGGGTAACGGCAGGGAGGTAGATGATCTGCTACTATGAAACAATCATTCCAGCCGTTATATGAGGTAAACATGCCCACTGTTATATTCAATGCCAGCAGAGGAATGCCATATTATGTTATGCGATAACTTTTTATTTGGTAACGAGCGTAGCGCTAATGTCTGCTGGGATGGCAACATCATCGGCAGAAATTAAAAAATTATTCTGTCCTAAAACCCACATTAAAGGCACACTATGCAACATTTTTCAGTTAATTAATGTGTTCCATAACGTTTTGGATGATTAAATGAGTCATTTCAGGTTGAACAAAGGTATTCTCGGCCGCCCTGGTGGTCTGTGGGGGAAATACTGCACTTGCAATTGCAGGAGCACCGACCCGCACCCACAGGCTCAGAAGTCTCGTGAGAGTCAGTCTTGCTTTACGGCGAGAACTGCTACACCCCCCAGTTAAAAGCATTCTCGTTGCTAGCACAGTGGCGATCTTTGTGCAGTTATGCTACGTTCACGCAGCAAAAGCAGCAAAATCGTGTCTGCTGCTTCCTTTTTGCTGCTTGTACCAGTTAGTTCTGACGCGCGGCTGAAGCAGCTTTGCTGCTCTGGCTGCGCGGTGCAAAAGTGTGTCTGACGCGCGTTGGGCGGAGCTTCACTATCCTTTCTCTGCCTTGCAGCTATATTTGCTGTGATCATTTGGAATAAAGTAGTTTTAATATGTGTTTAAATGAGAAAATCCACCTGAAAACGTAATCAGTGCCGTCAGTTCATTCAGATTATTATCCTGCCTTCAATATTTTTTCTGTCGGAGCCGCTCAGACCCCCACATACCAGCGGTGCGCCGACAGAAGGAATCCCTTCATCAGCAGCCTCTGGCCAGGTCGCCTCCTCGCGGTTCACCCAGGCAGCTGGTAGGTGTTTTTCATCTAAATAATCCAAACTGCATATTCTGCCGGCAGATTTCTGCATTTTAAGTTAATTTAGGCGTCAATAAACTGTTTAAGAGGAGAGATCATAGCCTCTGATCATCAGCGCTGTGTCTCTCTCCCTGCTTCAGCTGCTCAGACGCGCTGGGCCTGCTGCTCAAAACGTGCCGCGGGACCTTTTGCTGCGCCTTGACGCGCCTCAACCATTGACTTTGCATGTAAACTCGCTGCTTCTGTCGCGCCAGCTGCGGTGTGAACGCAGCAGCATTAGTCATTCGTTGCGTTCGCCTGTCTGCTAAGCTCAAAACAACCGCGCCTGGCTTGACGGAGAAACCAGGAGAACAGCTGTGCATATTTACGACAGTGCACTTTTACTTTCGCCCTCTGGGGGGAGCCTCGCTGGAAAATCAACACCGGTTGCATAGTGTACCTTTAACAGAAACGACTATTTGACCTGCACAAATAAAGTAGCACAGAAAAACTAGATATTTTGTGTTCAATTCGGACCTCTGGATGACCTATAAAATCATCTTTAATATATCTGAAACAAAAGTAGCACATATTTTTTTTGTGTTTGTTTTACAAGTTATATCTAATAATTTTAACTACACAAACCTTCCTTGATGAAGCACTAACCATCCAGTCTATCTGATTTATCCTGTGGTTAGGGTGTCAGCTTCACACACCTGAAACTTCTCCAATTTAGTAACGTGGTCCGGGGTGTGAACACTGCATCTGAAATGCAGAGTGGTGAACTCCCCATGGGGCTGGTGGAAATCCCATGTGACACCACGGTCGGCCTGGATGCACCTTTACAGACAACATTTGTTATGAATCCTAAATGTTTGTATTATTTTTTAGGCTGGCTGACTGTTTACATCTCCCCACTCTGTTCTGCTCTGCTAATTAGGGTAAGCAGATGCACCTTATCACTCTCCCAATCACCTTCATTCATCCCAGCTGTTTCTCAACCTATTTATACCTGTCTGTCTCATTTATTCCTAGGGTTCTTTCCTGCACGCTACACTGAAATTAGGCCAATGTGCTTTGATTATGTTTGTTTTAGTATATCAGGCCTTTGACTGAAATCTGGCACCTTCTAATAGGGTTCAAACAAGCTGCAGCCAGTAGCTAACATTATAAAATATACACAGAAATTTGGTAAATGCATTGAATGTAATGTAATGGCCACAAGAACAGTGTATTTAAACACATTTGAACACATAAGTGAGAACCATGTCTGTTTGAGGACATCAAGTCAGTGCTATGATAATGTGGACCACTCGCCCACCCTGCCAGCTCTATACACTCTCATCTAAAAAGACTTAACCCAAGTTTGCTTGCAGGCAGGTGAACAGGTAATCTAAGATAAAGGTCTGATTAAGTGTCCAAGCTCAGTTTTTTTAACCACACTCACTATCCGTTTCTTATTACAAAAGTTTGACATAAAAAGTGGTTAGCTTTAAGATTTATATATTAAGTTAGAGGATTTTCCCACAAATTCATAAAAACATTAACCCAACCAACAACTGTCTGATATTTTCAACTCAATTAATTTCAGTTTATTTATATAACACCTATTCACAAAACACATCCTCTCAAGGCACTGTACAGAGACAATTCAACCAGATCATACAGTCAGATTGGTTCAAAATATTCTAAAGAACATGGAGTCATTGGCTTGACAGAAATCCCTAATATACAAAACAAAATATATATCTTATACCTTCACAATATAAGATGCATAAAATAGTTACTGGAACCATTTGATTGACAAGGTATAAACCAAGCTCTGTGGAAAACGTGAAAAAGTCTTGCTACCAGTATGAGCGTCTCACCAATCATAACTGTAACACCTTTAAAACCAGCAAACAAATGTTTTGTAACTCAGTATTTTGTAAATGAAAGAAACGAAGCAATATTTTGAAAGCCACTCTCCTCATTGTGTATCCTTTGAGTGCAATAGTTCTAAGAAATTCTTCATAAAAACAAACACTAATGAAAAAAAATCTAACATAACGTAAAACTGGGATATATATACACATATATACATAAATATGTGTATATATGCAAATATATATATATTTGCAGCCAGATTTTTGTCTTTTCATCATTAAAACCACTTCTGAGCATCTTTTTCATGCATCAAATATGCAAAGTTTCTGCTCTGTTTAAGCATAATGTTTCTACCTGGATGCCCTCCGTGCCAGGCTGTTGCAGTAATTTGACGGTGCGTGTGTGCTGTGTCTTCTGGCCCCGGCCATCATGCCAGGTCAGGTTGCTGCCTCCGGCCCGACGCGGCAGCTGGTAGCTCAGCTCCTCAGCAGACACCGTGTGCTCCAGGGAGGCACGGCAAAAACTGAAGCTGGACGCCGCTGGTCAGGAAAGAAGGAAAGGAAAATTGAAGAATACAAGCTTACCAACACACTGTGTTTGTTCACAGTTAATCTTTACAACAACATCTGAAACCACACATTCCTATTTTTTCATAAAGATGTTAAAGACAATTAAAGGAGATAACAGATTAGATAACCTTTACATCTTAATGTTTAAGATCTTGCCATCCTTCCTTTTCTCTGTCCCTTGAACACACAGTTCTTTCAAGAAAGTTGGATGGATGGACAGAAGTGTTGGCTGTGACATGGGTTCAAATTATTTGTCAGTTTGGGGTCAGGGTGCAGGTCTGTGAAAGCCATGGGGCATTCTCTGCTTTTTAGAGAAAGCTGAACAGGCAGCTAACCTTTGCTATATTTCATCTGTAGCTGAGTATTTATCTGACAAAAATAAAACAAAATTTAGTTATTGGCCTGTTTTTTTTTTTGTTTTTTTTTGTAAACGAAGGGTAACTTTAATACAATTTAATATGAATTAATGAAGAGGAGAAACCTTAGCTAAAGTGTTTGGAAAATCTATTGGAAGTTTTCAGAACCATGGTTTTATCCAAAGCTCACTTTTCAAGAGAACTTTTCAAAATGACATACTAAACTGTGAGTAGTACCCCCTTGCATAATTTGTACTGTTAATTTATGGTTATATGATTTGGCAAAAAGTCAAGTTATGGAGCAGGAACGGTTAACAATAATCACAGGTTAAAATCATTGCAATTCATTTTAATGCAGAATTAATGTGGTTATAAAGCTTAAGTAAGCATATGTCCATGAGAATTACAAAACTGCTAAATTACCGCCCCGGTAATTCCATATAAGGCTACAAATTCCAGCACTTGTTAGACAGCGTTCATTCAAAAAAAGGCATTGAAGATGAAGAAGAGATATTTTACCAGTTTAGAGATCAAAGTTCTACTGACTGAAAGCTGAGCACGAGCCAAGAAGTGAGTAATAAATCACAAGAACTGTAAATGCCATCACCTATACAAGTCTAGGGTTTAAAAAAGACCAACTGGAATTACTGCCAACTCCACACACTGATCATAGGGTGTGTAGGAGCCTTTTATAAGCTTCGGTGTATAGGTTTTTGGGCAAAAGGTGGCGGCACTGTGTGCTTGTGTTCAAATCTGTATAGGTAGGAACCTTCTGCTGGGTGACAGGTGTTGCTCCTAGGCAAGTGAACACAGTTTTTTGACCGTTCTAATTTGTATGTTTAGCTCATTAGAATCCTTACACATTGGAGTTTGAACCATTAAACAGATCACATCGTTTTTATTATATGTATTCAGTATCAAAGAAACAGGCTAAAAGTATGGATATCACATTATTGGACGCAGGTGAAGCCAGCGACAACACGCGTCAATCAGGTGTTTACACAAGAAGCATTTAGGCATAGGATAGGATTTTACAATATGGATAGATTTAACAGATAAAATAAATACAAAATGCCCAAATGAAAACAAACATTCTGTTTTAAGGCAGCAGATGTTTGAGGGGAAAAACTAGCAGCAGTAATAAAGAGTGAAGACATAAACATGCTTCTTAGACAACAAGGCAGCCTGAGTGAAGAACATTCAATACTGAGATTCTATGCCTATGAAGCAAGAAAGAACAACAGGAAAGAAAAGGAATCTGAAAAAGGCATGTCACGAATCAGCCATGTATAACCTTATCCTGACTTGTTTCCACCATTTATTTGCATTATTACTCTGCAAAGTTGAGCATTATTCTCGTTCTCCTTACTTTGTTACAACTAATTCTTTATACTTCAAAGACCCTTCTTCTTCTCTTTAGTGTACTTTTTTTTTACCATTTCTTTGTCTTTTCATTGTTGTCACGTCTCTGAGGTTGTCCGGATCAACCGGGGTCCAACTCGGAAATAATTACTGCCAGTCAGCGTAACGGTGGGAGACAGGAGGAAGGAACATGAAAAACTAAGCGCCTTAAAACCCTGAAGACCTGTCAATCTCCCAGAAAAAGACAAGAGAAAGCATAGAGGCGGGAATGAGACTGACAAGAAGGAGAAGGGGGGTGTTGAGCTGTAAATTAGTACTGGATTCCTGTAAAACAACCTTGACTCTATCAAGGTAAAAACATCTCAAGAGAAAGAGAAGCTTGCACGAGTTAATTTCACAAGCCAAAACATTGCTGTTAATAGACAATGACTCCACACTTAATAGACATGGGCTTTAATATTAAGTAGTGGTGGATTGCGACTCCCCTCATCTATTACAATCTACATCTAATCCACAATGCTGGACTCCCTCTCCTAAAGCGGCCATAAAAATGAAGGCAAATCTCTTATTCTGCACTCTCTAATGGACTTAGTTAGTTTAACCTTGTGGCTCAGGATACCACAGAGAATTTAAGATCAGCCAAAGATAATTTAATGTCCACAAAGTCAAACTAATGTCTCTTTAAGTGTCTTCATACAATGAGCCTAAGAAAAGGGGATTGCTGTTTATTTAGGCACTTTTCAATCTCGTTAGATCTTTGTGATTTCAATCAGAATGAGGGGTTATCTCTCATCTTTCCTCGTCCACAATAATATGCATAGGATGAGCTTGGCCAACTGCCAAATCCCAGCAGTCCTATTTGTCACTATCTGGTGTTGTATTATCTCTCAGTACCCCTGTGAGTGACTTTTATCACCTCCACCCAGAGGAGTGGCGGAAAACAGGGGATGACAGAGCGGGAATTGTGTGAGTCAAAATGTAATAAATTCATAAAAAGACAGAAAATACAATAAAGGAAGACAATTTTTATAAACAATTTTTTTGCATTATAGTGACCCATAGACACATCTATCACTAATACATCCGTAGGTTGAATACCTTAATAACTCCAAATGTCCATTTTTAAATATCTATATTTCAACATCACCCTAACTCTTAACATACCCTTAAAAGCTGCAAATCATTTGTATATTTTTCCCAGGATTACATTTATTCTTTTTACTGAAATATATTGCCAATGTTGTTTGCCCAAGAAAAAGTGTAATATTGTCCTTTTTTTTAACAAAATAAAAAGACAAAAATAAAAGAGTATTTTGTGAAAGATTATCCAAAAAGGTCCACAATGTCAGAAATTACTGTAAAAAAATCCCTTATTTTAACAGACTATACAGAACAGTAAAGAACAGCCCCTCAAAAAACCCTAAGATGGTCATTTAATTGTGATGGCAGGATTGAAAACAGATTAATAACCCTTAACATTAACAATACCAAGTACAATTCTAAATTGCCACTAATTTTTATAAGTGGTGGTGTCAGGGTAGAGTGAATGAATCAACAAATGGCAACAGAAGCATACATCCAAAAGCAAAAAACTGGAAATAAAAAAAAAAACAGGAGACACCACAGAGAAACACACGTGAGGAGTAGGTAATGAAGAGAAAATGGCACTGATGAACTACAGAGGACGATTTTATATGGGAGAAGGAACCAATAGTGGAGTAATCGGTTAATTGGGAGCAGGTGTGGATAGAAGCAACTAGAAAGGAGCGAAGGGGAAAGGATAAGGGAACCAGTGGACAACAAAGAGCAACCAGGGAAAACGGGACTTAACTTAAACTAGAAAAGAACTAACTAAAACTAGACCAAGGAATAAATCGCAAAAATGATATAAATGTTGACAAATCAGAGTAACATCAAATAAAGCATAGCTGAGAGCCCAAAAAGGAAAACTTACACAGAAACAATAGTGATAGATCATGGCAGGTGGCTTATTAAAGCGTTCCCCATTAGGTTTTACATCAAATTTAACTTTTAAAAAGTATCTCCAAAGAGTTTATTTTACATCCTTTAAGATTTAATTTGTCTGAAGCCTTAACGCATTGCTTATATTGATTTTTTCTTTTGCAAAAAGTGATGGTGTCCATAAAAAAGAGCTTGTTAACACATTTGACCTTTAATAGTTTTATAATTTCATCCTGCAGTTTTTATTAAAATCTGTGTAACACGGAAAACAGAGCATTTACCTAGATTGATAACATAGTCCGTGTTGTAAAACAAGAAATTGGATTTCAATCTGGCGGAGGCATAAAAACACTTTTCAAAGCTGTATAGCTTTTAAGTTAATTTACATTGACATCATCTTGAAATCTATCACACTGGATTATCATCCCCTAGATTTCTTAAGAGATAGTTAATATCCATAAACCATCTTGTTATTATAAACAACAGGTCATTTTAATAACATTGATCTACAGTGATGAAGATCAAGAGGTGTCCTTCATGTTTCAGACGTGCCCTTCTCTAACAAACCTCAATCAATGTCTTAATGACCTCTTTAGGGTATCATTAAGTTCAGTAGAGGAGTGGTTCATTTGATTAAGAAGTGTTGAACCTGAAACAAAGTGGGACACTGGCTCTTGGAGGATAACAAAGAACCTAATTATCCACCTTATGATTTGTTTTTTATTAAATCTGCATTTATCTGTGGGTATAGTCTCTTGCTTTAGAAATTGGTCTTTTGGAATAATGAAATAAGGATTTAAGTCTGTAAATTTAAATATTTTTTCTACCGTACTAAATCTTTAATTCGCATTTTATTTGTCTTAAAAATAGGAACGGGACAGTTTCTATTTTCAAAGCATTTCAAGGATTTAAACATTTAGTCCTCTGAACTATTAAAATGCTGCATAATATTGTTCCTTAAATCTATTTAGATTGAAATTTTCTACATCTTGTGTCGATCATATTGATTTATTTAACCTCTACTTCATTTGTCTCTAAGTACTTTCAGTCATAGGCCACTACATTTATTAAGCTAACAGGACAAACAAGCTTGGCTAGATCTACTTCTGGTATTGAAAAACACTGACATGTACGCTGTGCTAAATAAAGGTATGTCCTCCCTTTCTTATTGAAGTAATGTTTTTTGAACAACAGCTGCTGAGTTTCAAGTGTTTTTTTTATCTTCTCCTATCTTCTATCTTATTTTTTTTTTACACTGACAGTGGGCAAACTACTAGACTTCCTTAACAG